GCTATATCTCAAAATTTTACTAGGGTAACCCTGTCGTGTAACTAAGTAAAAATACTCCTCTCGCAATTTTACTTAACTCTAACTCTAACCCTAACCCTAATACTAACCCTAACACTAACCCTAATACTAACCCTAATTTTTTTAGGGGGTGCAATGTATTGCACCTGCAAAAAATTAAAAAATTCTTTTTAGGATTACCAATTTTTTATTTTTTTTTGTAGAATTTTTTACCGGGCTGATGAAATGATAATCAATGATCACCCAAAGACTAAAATAAACAACTAGCAAAAGATATTTTGATAATCACTTCTAAATCTATATTTGATCGAAATGCTGAATATCATTCTTGTGGGATTATTAAGTTATATATATATACTGTATTTCACACAAAATATATATTTGATAAGAAAATTTAGCAATCATGATTTAAATACAATAATATCGAAAATTCTATAGACAGAATTTAGGGACAATGCAGAATCATGATTGGTTGGTTAGCAAATGGATTTTAATAATATTATATGAACTTGCTCCTAAGCTCTATAGAATTTCAATCATGTATACTATATAACACCCAGAGGCGTTATTTTGAATAATAACCCAAATTAACTTTAATTTAGGCCAAAATTCAAAATTACGCTCCTGCACGTTATTTCGTGTTTATATGAATAATCGCACAATCAGGCAGATTGTATAGGTGAGCTAAGTTCTTATCACGCACTGCAATAGTGCGACACTAACCCTTGTTGGTACCAGAGCGAAAAATTATAATTTGAGATTTTCTTTCAAATATTAATTGCATAACACGTGATGGAAACTGGCGTTATATAGTTATGCGATAAGTTACAAAGTCCAAAAAAAAATTCATTGAATTTGACCAGTGGTGTCGAGATATCTTTAACGCTGATAAACGTTCAAAGTTACAAAACCTTTGATCGAAGATATCTCATCACCTATTTGACCAAGTTTGATTAACTTTTTTTTATTTGATTTTTACAAATTTTTGTAGAAAAGTTCAAATTTGACCAAGTGAGTGTTAGATATCTTCGATCAAAGTTTCATGACAAACTTCTATTTGATAGACTTTAATCAAAAATATCGACATTTACCTGATCAAAAATTCAATAAACATTTTTTACTTGAATTTTACAGTTCCTAGAATTAAAATAAAAAAAGTTCATCAAATTGACCAGGTGAATATCAAGATATTTTTTAAAAAAAAATTGCAAAATTCACAATATTTTAATCAGGTTTCTATTTGTTTGGGTAACTATATTTATATACAGTGTATAAATAGTAATACTCTATTTTTTAAATTAAACTTTAGTATAATTTTATGGGTATCAACTCATTTAATTACTAATTAAAATATTTAAAACCCCCATATATATAATATTCCTTACAACCATTATATATAAACTAAGGTTTTTATAGATATGAATTTTACTGTTTAAAAAAAATTAGTCAAAATATATATATATATATAACTCAACAATTTTGCTTTTAAGTTTAAATTAAGGGTTCTTAAGCTAGAGCTTTTTGTGCTGATGTAATGAAAAAATGAAATATATAATTAATAAAATGCTTCGGATTAATAAATTCAACTAAGTAATTATGAGATACTGCATTAAACATACCTAACGTGATCTTATCTCCAAGACTTAATGCTATTCCCTGTGTTTTGCTTCTAATTCGAACATGACCGGTAATAGCGCCGTCAGTTTGTTTTTCTACACTAAGATTAGCCAATGCATCTTCACCTACAAGGTAATATGTGAATTTTTTTTTATCATCATTCTATCTCAATAAGAGGTGTAAAATTTGACTATAATCTTACCGAATATACTACGGGCATACATGTTAGCTGACAAGAAGCCACAATTCCCGGATAATGCAGTTTCTGGAGTTAGGCAACTCATGTTCGTTGATTTCATAATATGAGATAGATATTCTCGTAAATTGCTAATAAATAAAAGTTGAATTAATAATAACTCTGGTAGCTCATTGAAGATGATAATCAACTATACTCACGTGATATTGGTATTGACATTGACCTTATTTTCCCATTCGAATTCTGTCCACATACTCCGGAACTAGTTGTAAAAAATGTAAGCTAAACCTAATAAATACAGTTTGAATTTACTTGACATACCTGAGTTTCATTACAATATGCGGGATTAATATAATCCATTATATCAATGTGAATGTCATTAAGAACAACGCAGTTGCTCTCAGAAGTACCAGGCCCATCATAAACAATATTACCAAAGATTACGCCGGTCTCTGTAGATGAAACCTAATAATACATTGAGTCAGGAAGGTATGAGAATGAGTGAGAGATTACCTCTCATAATAAATCCGAGATAGAGCACATACTTTAATCGTAGCTTTAACACTGTGGAAACTATGAGGCGCAAGGTTATGTTGCGTAGGTCTCTCAACTAGTTTTAAATCTCCCAAAGTAGCAAATTCTATAGAAAGGTTCTGCAACGTCTCACTTGTTTGGTTAACAATCAAGACATCTGAAATTCCAACAAAAATATATATTTTGTAAATAATCTCAATAAAAATAAAAAAATATTTATATTTGTATACCAAGTAAAATATCATATTGGTGAACATTGACATAAGCCTCTGCGTATACAGGATCGGAAAACCCTATTAAGGAACAATAATATACATTTATTCTAATAACGCAAAAAAACAAAAAAAAACAAGAAAGACACCTACGGAGTTTTATAGGCAATACCTGTAAGTTGAACTACGCGGCTAAGTTTTGAAATCAAATCATCTCTTGGATCACTTTGACCAGTAGCACGTGTTAAATCCAGCTCATACTATGACAAATTTTAATAAATTAAAAATATTACGATTAAATTTTTATGAACAAATGTATTCAAAACGTTACCTCATCTGCTTCATCTCCCAAATTACGCTTTGAAAATTGTCTGAAAGAAATAAGATCATCAACTTGAACTGATGCCACAGATTTATCTTTAGCTTTTTTTGCTGCTGTGCGTTTCTGAAGGAGATTCCAAAACAAAACCAAAACATAAACATCATTTCAAATGACAATATCTGAAATAAAAACAAAAGTAAGATACGAAAGTTATTAAAACCTCTTCAGCCTCTACAATTCTTGCAAAAGCTGCTTTGGTGTCTTGTAAAAACGCAGACTTGATTGAGGCATCAATCGAAAACTGTTCCAAAACATGCAGACAAGACATGATTCTGTCGTAAGAGTCTTCATCAATAGGCGTTGACACAAATTGTGATTGCCCAACTCGAATTACACTAGCCATTATAAGCATTGCCTATATAATAAAATATATTATGCGCATAAGATTTCTATGATTTGAATGAAAATTATGAAGGCACTTTTACCTCTGCTCTCAATGCATTAGTTTTTTTCGCATCCTTTGAGACGTCAGCATAACGCAATACTAACTTAGTCAAAGTTGCAGCGAGTACAGAACCAAGGAAGAAATCTCCACTTAATAACAAAGCTAAAATATCGTGCAGCATTCGTGAGTTAATGTTCATTTATGGCCTGCTAACAACTGTTAATAAACCATATCTACCTCTTAATGGTGGTTTTGCAGCTGCTTTAACAGCATCAAGTTTTGCCGAATTTAATGAATTAGATGAAAATATGGATTCGGTAGCATATGTACCGTCAGCAAGAATACGACGGGATGATGAAGTGGTAGCAGTTTTGGTATCAGAAACTGCATCTTCTCCTTTTTCTTCCTTTTCTGCTTCTTCAAGCAAACGCTATCAAATATTTATTAAATTAATATATTATTATTCAGATAGTTAGTTATCTTGAAAATTTAACCCGTCAAACCTGCTCTGAAGCCAAAATCGGAATTTCACCGAGTCCAGCTCTTATTTGTTTCCAAGCTTCTTCAATATCTAAAAGAAATCAGGTTAATGTGACCAATTTTCAAAAATATTCATAATTAGATCCGGGTAGATATTTCTATTATATAATGAACTACCCGGATAACGCGGATAATTTAATAATATCCGAGTAGGGATTCTCAATGGGTCACACTAATTTATAAATACCTTGACATTCTGTACAGTACTCTCCTACAATCCATAAAGCACCTCGAAACACTTTTCCAGATTTGACGTCCATAAATGTTTCAAGTAGTTTCTCCGTTATTGATGATCGCAGGTTTGGGAACTTTTCCACTACCTCACTGAAGCAGGAAAACATATTAATAAACATATTAATTATAAATGTCATTAGTAAAATGTTCAGTAAGGAGGCTAGCTTACCGAACAAATGCAATTACATCGACAGCAGCGGGATTATTCGAATCTCCTAGGAATTCCATAAGCACATGAACAACATTTGCTGCAACTTCAGAAAATTTGATTGCGCATCCATGAATGGACTGAATTAATAGTTGTCTATATTCATTATTCTACAAAATAATTTTAACAAAGTCAGTTAAAGGTATTTTCTAATATCAGTAATGACTATGATTATAACCTTTTCATAATCTTGATCAAGGGTCTTGCTGAGTTCCTTTTTTAAGAACACTACAACTTCCTGAACGTTACGACTTGAAACTAACTCTAAAGCTATACGCAATGCTTTGCGTCTAACTTCAATGTCTGGACTATTGAATGAAACTTGGTTTGTTAGCAAATAAAAATAATATCAACATATATAATCAAGGATTGATTTACTGTACGCCACTGACTACGGTATCTCTGCTATAATACTCTCATGAAAAAGACCTGGAAATAATTAATGGGTTCGTGATTCAGGAATTGAAAAAAACAGGGTATTCTTCTAGGTGACATAGTACCATATTTTCGCTCATGAGTAGTGATGCGACCCAAACCTAGTGGTTTCGGCACTTGCTGTATCCCAAACTGGCAAAACTAGTTTGGGACTTATGCCGTAATGTCCCAAACTAATCTATGTTTGGGATTTCGGCATAAATCACATAATACCGTAATACTGCCGTAATGCCGTTATTTGCCGTAAATAGTTTGGGTCGCATCACTAAGCCGAACCCTTCCTAATCAATCGCATGTTTCCGGAATTTCAGCCATATGTTACACAAAGCGTCTAGTGTTACAAATAGATTCATATAACGCTAACGCTAATGCTTTTTCATGACAAATTTTTTTTTTGTTTTAAAATGTCAAATTATCTAACAGAACATTCAGAAAAAATCGACAGTTCATCAAATGAAATTATTCAAATAACTGATAAATCTTTTAGCGAAATCGTTAAAGAATTATTCAATAGATACAATGAAGAATGTTTAAAATGTTTCGATGTGAATTTGGCCATTAATTCATTGGATCAAATTTTAATAAATACGAAACAAAATCCTGATAATATTATTAATTGGTGTTTGGATAATCAAGTTAATCCTATGGCTCAAATCGTTTTTGCAAGATGTTATCGTTATGGTAAATGGATTAAAAAAAATGAACATAAAGCATTTATTCATTATCAAAAGTCTGCCGATATGGAATTTAGTGAAGGGATATTTGGTGTGGGTGTTTGTTATGAAAGAGGGATTGGTGTTAAAAAGGATGAAAATAAGGCATTCATTCATTATAAAAAAGCTGCCGATATTGGTCATTTTATTGGAATATTTAATGTTGGTTGTTGTTATGAACGAGGAATTGGTATAGAAATGGATAAAGATAAAGCATTTATTTATTATCAGAAATCTGCTGAAATGGGTTTTGTTGGTGGAATAAATAACGTTGGATATTGTTATCTTCAGGGAATTGGAGTTGAAAAAGATGGAAATAAAGCATTCATTTATTGCCAGAAATCTGCTGAGATGGGACATGCCGCAGGATTAAATAATGTTGGATATTGTTATGGAAATGGAATTGGAGTTGAAAAAAGTAAACATAAAGCATTCATTTATTATCAGCAAGCTGCTAATATGGGTGAGACTACAGCAATAAAAAATGTCGGTTATTACTACCTTCATGGAGTCGGTGTTGAACAAGATGAATATAAGGCTTTTATATATTATAAAAAATTAGCTGAAATGTGAAAACTGGCTTGATTTGTAATTTTGTAATCATAATTAGTTAATTTTGATATTATGAAAAAATAAATCAAATAAAAAATATATATATTTGCTGTAATTAAAATTATAATTTTTTAATAAAATAAATAAATAGGAAAATCTTTTTCGAATCTAGAAGATTAGAATGGTTATATTTTTAAATCGAGAACCCTTAATTCTAGCTTCAGCGCGATAATACAGTATAAAGAATTGGTATTAAGATAAAGCCGTCGAATATTATTTGAGGTCCGCTAAAATGATGTAAGTCAAAATTTAATGTAAAATACCTTGGATTCCATACAACGAATTTAAAAATACCACAGAATCAAAAAAAGTGGATTTGGAACTGTATTTTATGCTAAATGGGTAAACCCAAAACTTATTCATTACCTGTTGCTTTAAATAAATTCACAATTCAAAGGAGTATTTGAAGAATTTTAGAGAGGTTAATTTTAATAATAATAATATTATTATTATTATTATTTTTCTAACTCATAAAATACTAATATATGTGAAGTTAAAATGTTTGTAATATTTAAAGAAAAATTAATCATCTTTAAATGCTACAGAGTATCACAAGATGAAAAAAATTATATTCCTTATAAGAATATACAGCGATGGACTATTTACGTAAGAATCTTAATAATGTATTACAAATGAACGGCATGATAAATTTATTTTATAAACACCGTATCACTTTTGATCTAAACTTATTCATCAAGATTTGCATAGTGACAACATCTACAAGACAACAAAAAACATTGCATATATTGCAAATTTAGGATTATCTACATCATGCTTTGCTTTATAACTAGATGAAATTAAAGACATAAAGCCTTATATTGCACCGAAAGTTTTATCGTGAAATAATTACACACAAGCAGCTAATATTTACAGTTTGAAGTCATCATGTCAGAGAAATCAGCTGGACAAAACTATTGGACAGTCTTGCATAAAGATCGTTAATGGATTACGACTTGATTTTTTTAATAGAACTCCCGAATGCTGAGATACAATGTATGGATTTTGAACCAATGAAACTACTTACTGCTGATGAAATTAATTACAACACGAGATTTAAATGGTGAGAAAATAAGTTAACCAAAAATTGAAACCAGAATAGCGTGCATGCTTATATAATAGAATCGCGTGTAAGTTAGTAAAGCTATTGTTACTCAGAGAAATATCGATTTGCCGGGAGTTAAATCAACCAGCAAAATTAAACAAACAAAACACTGGACC